AAAAAAGTGACAAAATTCAAAAAAGCGACAATTTGTTCTTTAAAAAGTGACACAATTTAAAAAAGTCACACAAATTATTAAAAAAAAAAAACAAGTGACAATAAAAAAAAAGTGACATTTTGTCACTTTTTCTTAGAATAAGTATTTTTTTTTCTTTTAATTCTGTATTGACGTTATCCCTTTTAACTTATTTATGGGCTATATTTCTACACTTGTTGGGTGACATTTTTGTTATCATTTGAAGTATTTACGACAAATTTTGAAATTTATCTCTCGAATTTGAAAGTCGATAAATGACGAGTTCATAATAACAAGTCAAAAATGGTCATAAGAAATGGACTTAATAATTATGGTTTAATTTGCGTTCAATATTCACACGAGATAATTTTAGACATTTAGACTTCATCCATAACATATTTATCATGACCTTATTACAAGCTTTCTAATAGATTTTGAATCGGTCAAAATGGATAATCACTACGTAAAATGTTTGCCACTTATTACAGTTGATAAACAAAAATATAGTGCTCCCACAAACATACAAAATAAAAAATAGGTACATCATTCACATTGAACACCGGCCAAACAATATCTCAGAAATACAACATGAAAACCTAATTCACTCACCTAAGCAAATCCCAATATTTTGATCACCTGGTTTCATCCTCGACGTTACAAAAACCAACAGTCAAATCTAAAGTTTCTTAAATTTCGCAACTAGGGTTCCCCCTTCTTCAGCTGGATCCTCAAACTTTTGAGAACTGCATTGCCGTCAGGGGGAGGGGGATTAGAAAAAAGAAACATCAGAACTCAAAGGAGAGAATTGGTGGAGAAAGAGAGACCTCATTGATTGCCTTGCATATAATTATTTGTTTTCCTATTAAATAGTTAGGTTACATGTCGAGAAGAAGATGAAGTGTTAGACGGAGTAGAAGGGAGGAAGGTGTCAACTGCGTTGATTTTTTACGGAATTGCCTCTATCTTCGTCACTAAGGATTAGGATTTCGATGTTCATGTAAATGACTCCTTTTCATCAATTTTCAGTGTTTATATGCGTATTATTTACTGTTAATCAAAAGGATTGCTAAGATTTTTTTAATTAAGTGTATTATTCAATTTTGTTGCATTTGGGAAGTATTGAACCTAATAAGTGTCATGATGGTAAAGTAGTCAATATGTTTAAGGAAGGTAGCTGGTTCAAATCACCTTCCACACATTTGTTTTGGTAAAAATTGTTGAAATACAAAAATTATAAAAAATATTGCTCTTGAAAAATTTTGAACACAGGACTTTCAATTTAATAGTGGAAGGGCTAACCAATTGAGCTATCAGAGATTTTTATTATTAATATGAATTATCAAATATATAATCTAAAAGATCTATCTATTATCAGCCAAAAAAAAAAAAAATCTCCCCTACGAATCTAGCTAGGGCACCACTACCTAGATCCACCACTGGAGATGTATTTATATCAACAGCCATGGTGAAAGTTTTAAAAAGCAGGTTTTGATATTTTCGACTCATACTAGGGTTTTGTAGTAGCAATAAATTGGTAATAACAATTGAAAATATGAATCAAATGGTTGATTTGTGTGATACTGTGTTGAGTAGACTTTACAGAAGATGTATAGACGATCAATTTGATGTTTAGGTTTCAGAGGTAGAAGAAGCGACAAAAATTGGAACAAAAAAATCATTTGATTCGTCGATCCTTAGAAAACGAAATAAACAAAGTTCAATCTTTGAGTGACAATAGGGAAATTTATAGAAAGTTACAATCCCCTGAGGTTTTCTTGTGGATGATTGTGACACCAGAGTCCTAAAACCCAAGAGCCATAAAAGATAATATATATAAAAGAGAATTTATTTAAAATTCATTTCATAAATTGAGAAAGTCAACTTAAAAAAAATAAAAATAAAAAAACCAACAAAAACAACTTGTTCATGATATTTAAAATAATCAATTCGGAAGGAAAATTCATAAAACTTCAAAAATTATTTCCACCACCACGACCGAGTCCAAATTCCAATCTTCCCAATGCTTAGTTACCTGAAAGGGGAAAATGTAAGGGTGAGAAAATCTCAACAAGCATATATGTGTTCATAAGTTTCTAATCATATAACTTTTAGAATCATAGAACTTGCATAAAGGAGACACGAAACTATACCGAACTTAGGTGATATGAGTTTTATGTGCGTAGCGCTACTAGAACTCCTGTTCGAAACTTAGAACATACATATGGACCCATAAACATATTTCCAAAGGTGCAGCTAACAACCCGTATATACTTACCGTTGTGTGGGGAAATACAAAGGCAATCAAAGAAATTGGCTTGCTAGGTTTCCACTCCAAAGTTTTCTTGAATAGTGTGAGTATTTAAGATTTTTGTAATGTGAAATATGTTTGTGTGTAAGACGGGTTGTGAGAGAGAAGACAAAAGGTGAGGTGTGAATTTCTAGAAAATCATGCACCTATTTATATTATACTGATGATGCATGGGATAAATCTAATAATTTATTTAAGTAACTTTTAATACTTAAAGATAATCTTAATATCTAACAAAATCTGTGATAATGTTGAATATTAAAAATAATCATAATATGCAACATAATTTGTGATAGTGTTGAATAATTAAAAATAATCATAATATCTAATAGAATTTGTGATAATATTGAATGATTAAAAATAATCATAACATCTAATAAAATTTGGATAATGTTGAATACTTGAAAATAATCATAATATCTAACAGAATCCGTTATAATGTTGAATATTTAAAAATAATCATAATATCTAACCGAATTTTTTAATTTAAAATTATCAAAATATCTTAGAGATTCTATCACTTTGAGATTCAAATATTTGTGCTAATCCCTAAAATATTATACATTATTCAATTAGGTCCCTAGAATATACTTTCATCCTCGAAATTTATTTCAACTGTCGTCAATAAAAAGTTGAGGATACTTAGATTGTATTTCCCCTTTTCGTTTTGAAGTGCCTTCTTCTACTGAATGATGTTGCCATAACACTTCAACGTGGTATTTCTTTGTTGCGAAGCTTCTATACTTTCTGAGCTATGATGCATATTGGTACTTCTTCGTAACTCAAATTCGGCTGAATATCTAATGGTTGGTTTCTGATCACATGAGTTGGGTCTACATACTTTTTGAGCATTGATAGAAGAAAGACATCGTGTACTGTTGAAAGCTTTGGTGGCAAAGCTAATTGGTATGCAACATTTCCAATTTTCTTTAAAATTTCAAAATGACCAATGTACCTTGGTCTTAGCTTACCCTTCTTGCCAAAGCATAATACTCCTTTCATCGGTGCAACTTTGAGGAATATCTTGTCACCTATTATAAATTCTAGACTTTTCTTCTTTTATCTGTAAAACTCTTCTGTCTATCCTAAGCCATTTTCATGCTAGCTCGAATTTTCTCAATAGCTCGCACTGCCTGGTCAATGATCTCTGGTCCCAAAATTTTTCGCTCCCGACCTCATCCCAATGAATTAGCGATCTACAGTTCCTCCCATACAATACCTCATATGGTGCCATGCCAATAGAGACGTGATAGCTGTTGTTGTGTGCGAACTCAATCAAGGGTAAATGTTTCTCCCAATGTCCCACAAACTCAAGGATACATGTTCGAAGCATATCCTCAAGCATTTGAATTATTTGTTGAAACTGACCATCTGTTTGGGGATGAAAATCCGACTAAATTTTAGCTTAGTTCCTATAGCTCGGTGTAAACTTTTCCAAAAATTTGATCTGAACCTTGGATCTCTATTTGAAATGATTGAAATTAGGAAACCATGTAGCCTCACTATTTCCTTAACATATAACTGTTCAAATTGATCCATTAAAAATGTCATGCGAATAGTAAGAAATGAGCTGACTTGGTTAATCGGTCAACAATCACCCAAATAGCCTCATGTCCTCTCATTGACTTTAGGAATCCTACAACAAAGTCCATCATCACATGTTCCCGTTTCCATTCCTAAACCTCCAACGGCTACAACTACCCTGATGGTCGCTGCTGTTTGGCTTTCACCTATTGACATATCAGGCACTTCTCCACATATTTAGCTATATCTTCCTAAATATTTTTCCACCAAAACACAGCTCTTAGGTCACGATACATCTTTGTACCTTCAGGATGTATCGAATAAGGAGTAGAGTGGGCTTTCTCCAAAATTTCAGTTTTCAATTCCTTGAAATATGGTACACACAAGCGTCCTTGATAATATAATGTTTTATCCTCAGCTATGGTGAAATTTTTCTTCTTTTCAGTGTCAATCTCAGCTTTGATAAACTTCAAGAATTGATCACCCTTTTGATGATTCTTAATCTAATCACGAAGAATCGGTCGAACTGCACGTGTTGCCATTCGAGAAATAGAATCGGGAGAAGGGGTAGCTACCACTTCAAGACTTAATTTCTCAAATTCTCTCCATAAAGGTATTTGTCCTGTTAACATCGCCAGTTGTCCCATTGTCTTTTTACTCAAGGCGTCGGCTACTACATTCACCTTACTTGGGCAGCGGCGAATCCAGGATCAAAGTCCAGCTAGGATGGGTTGACAGTTGACTGTTGACCGTCGACAATAGGACTAGGGCGGGTTGACCGTTGACCGTCGATGATTGTAATAGTTCGATCGTTTAATAAAATTTGGTTATATAATATTAAAAGTTATTCAATATATATGTAAATAAACCGAAACGTCAAAATCGTATACATATGAAAATATACTTCAATACAACCCAAAATAGTAAAAAAAAATACGATACAACTTTGCTCAATTACTCTGTAACTGTAAACTTAGACAACAGCATTCTACGTGGTCTCATGATTTGAAAACGTTACAATATTGTCTCATTCTCAAGTTTTTTAAAAATAACTTTCTCCACGTAAACCACCAAATTGTCATTCAACTAGTCATCTCCCATTTTGTTGCGTAAATCACTCTTGATTAGATTCATAGCAGAAAATACCCTTTCAACACTTGTAGTTGCCACAGGTAATCAATGCCAAGGTGAGCAGCCTATAAACCAATGAAAAATAACAAGAACTTCTAGTTTCAACCAATTTCTGAGCTACACAAGATATGCTATTGAGATTAAAGAAAGCTTTGTCCATTCTCACAAGTAAAAGAAACTTATCAAGCTGAGATCTAAGTAATAAAAGCTCTTCACTATTGAAGTCCAAAGGATAGAACTGAGCAAGACGTAGCAATTTATCCTTATCAAAAGCTGCAAATGAATCTCTTGGACTTAAAAATGAAATGCAAGTAAAGAGCTCAGTAGTTATTTCTGGAAAACGATCATTCAACTCTTGCAAGATTGAGTCTATCACATGACAATACAAATCAACATAAAAGCGATGAAAATAAGTCACCTGCTGAGCTACACCCCTAGGTCGACCTTTCACTACTACAATATCCTCTATGTTGGGCACTAAAATATGTCTATCAACATAAAACTCAATCGCCCTACTCAACAAAGTATCCCAACCATTCTCTCTTAGGTTCTACAATGCACAATTATACAAATTCAATAACCTAGTAGTATTCTGAATATCCTGATCCTTTTTTTGTAAAGCTTATAAAAGGTCATCTGTAATTGAAAGAATTTCAAACATAGAGTGGAGACTGAACACAAACTCAAAATCTTGGATAGCGTTCATCTGTTTTACGGCTAAAGATTTTTGATCTGAATGTATGCCATTTTCTGATATATTTTAAAAAACATCTATGATAGCATTAAACATATTAATGAAATGAGTAATTGTCAGTAGATGTAAGCCCCACCTAGTATCACCTGGGCGTGCCAAACTCATTTCTTGAAAATAACCACTTCCACCAGTAAGTTTCCCAATATTAAGCTTCTTCAAACTATTAGCTTGATAACTTGTTCGAAGAGCATCTACACGCTACATGATGCACCAACCAAATTCACAATAATAGCAAGTATGTCAAACAAATCACCAAGCATACAATTCCTACGTGCCACAGATACAATTGCCAACTGTAGCTAGTGAGCAAAGCAATGAACATACATAGCATGTGGGTTCTCTCTTAGAATTAAAGCTTTCAACCCATTGAACTTACCTGACATATTACTTGCTCCATCCTAGCCTTGACCTCTCAGGCTAGATATGCTGAACCCATGTGTAGAAAACATTGCATCAATGGCATCCTTCAGTGAATGGGCACAAGTATTAGTGACATGAGACATACCCAAAAAAATGCTCCTTCACTTGCCCACTTTTATCAACAAACCTCAAAACAACTGCCATTTGTTCTTTCATAGAATTATCACGAGCCTCGTCAACCAAAATTAAAAACAAAAAATCACCTATCTCACTGATAATAGCCCTTGTTGTCTCTACGGCACAACAATTAACCAAATCCTTTTGGATGGTTGGTGAAGTCATTTGGTCATTTCCAGGAGCATTACTAAATAATACTTCTTTAATTTCTTTACAACGAGCTGCATACCAATTCAATAACTCAATTAGATTTTCTCTATTAAGAGACTCTTTCGATTCGTCATGACCACGAAATGACAATCCTTGTATTAAGAGGAGTCTAGTACAATCTAGCACCACAGTCAACCTGGTCCTATAACTTTTTTGTTGACTACTACTTTGGCTAGAAATAACATAGGAGATACTTTGCTTTTGATTAATCAAGTTGGTACACTTTGCAAAAACTTAATTATGAGCACTATCAAAGAGACCAACATGATCTTTCCATGTCTTTTTGTGCTTCCAATCCCTAAAGTCGGTCTTAGTAAATGTATGGCCACCCCCTGACCCCATCTATCGGGTTTGAACAAGTAGCAATGCAAACAGTACCCCACATCCTTCTCTATACTATATTCCAACAAATGAAATTCGGAGAACCATTCTTTCCGAAAACATCTATTATCATTCCCCATCAGTCTTCTTGGAAAATCATGTCCATATGGTTGATAAGGACCCTTTTCCAAGTATGTCATCCTAACATCATCTCTGATATTATGATCATATGACTCGATAGGGGGCTGTATCCATGGATTGATACAAGATCATCTACATTAAATTAAGCCCGGGACTTCTTTGTATTATTCAATAACTCTTGTGCTCGACTAAAATCAATTGCGGGACTAGATGTACAACTAGAAGTAAAAGAATTGGGTATGGACTTTCGTTTTGGTTGAAAAAACCATTTCATAATCTGCAAAATGTCCCAATTTATTTTTCAATTACAATTGATTAAAAAAATAACCAAGTACACACGGGTTGAATTGAGCGGCCAACATTTTCTCAATTAAACGTAAATTACTTATCCTAATTTCCTAAATGTAAATTCCCAAATCATTATTCATTCCTCATCAAAACATAAATTACTTCTCATAAATCACAATTCGCAAATACAATTTCGTAAACATAAATTTCCAAATCAATAATCATAACTCATCATGATAAAACATAAATTACTTATCATAATTCATAAATGACAATTCGCAAACATAAATTTTCAAATGAATAAATCATAACATAATTAATATTAAATTATTCAATGCTCAACATCAACAACTCCGTCTCCAAGATAGAACAAAATCAAAACAAATTAGGCAGACTCATAGTCACAGTAACAGTAGGCAGTACAGTAGCAGGGGCAAAATAAAATCCAACAAAATCAAAATATAACAAAACCAAAAAAAAAAAAAAAAAAAAAAAAAAAAAAAAAAAAAAAAACAAAAAAAAAACAAGGAAAGAAAAAGAGTCACTAGTCTGGAGTTCATAGTTCACTGTTCATTCAGCGTTTGGCAATCGGCACCTCGTCTTCGGCAATTCGACGTTGCAACAACATGTGTTCTTTGATGGAGTCTATTATCTGCAGTTTGTGGTGTCTACCTCCTGGAGTCTGGAGCTAGCCTAAGTCGTGTGGTGTGGATTTGGAAAAAGAAGTGAGGTCGACTCGAGGAAAAGGGTTTGGCATTTGGGAGAAATTCACAATTCTGCAGCTCTTCCCAGTGCCCACGATTGAAATGAAACGGGTATTATGGGTAATGGGTTAATATATTGGATAAATTCATTTGACATTTAGGCTAAATAATAAGAGGCCCAACCCCAAAATTTAACATTTAGTGCTAAAGCTGAAGCCCAAACCAACAAAAAAAAAAGGTTTCATCTTCCTTTTTCTTCTCCAGGCGAGTCGGTGACCACTGAGGCACTGACCCGGCGGCTCTACAGATTCTGGTGGAGCCAGCACGCACGGTCGAGCCCCTTCGTCGGGTGTTGGCTCCGCGCCTGTGCCCAGGTGGTAATGAATTTCACAATCGTAATCCTTTACCAACTCAAGCTATCTCCTCTGCCTCATGTTCAACTCTTTCTGAGTGAAGATGTACTTAAGGCACTTATAATCTATATAGATGTCACACTTTCCTCCGTAAAGATAGTGCCTCTAAATCTTAAAAGCATGAACTACCGAAACTAGTTCTAGGTCATGTGGAGGATAATTCTGTTCATGAGACTTCAACTACCTCGATGCATAAGCAACTATTTTTCCTTGTTGCATAAAAACACATCCAATACCCTACTTGGATGCATCACTGTAGATAACGAAACCTTCTGATCCTTTAGGTATGGTTGACACTATACATTGACTAATCTCTTTTTCAACTCTTCAAAACTATGTTCACATTTTTCCGTCCATTCGAACTTTATACCCTTACAAGTCAACTATGTTAATGGTCCGAATATTTTGGAAAATCTCTCAATAAACCTCATGTAGTATCCTACTAAACCTAAAAAGCTACGAATCTCTCCTACATTGGTTGGCCTAGACCAGTTCAATATTGCATCTACTTTCTGTGGTCAATCTCTATTCCTTGTGATGTGACCACATGTCCAAGAAATACCACCCATTCCAACCAAAATTCAAATTTCTTGAATTTTGCAAAAAGCCTTTCCTTTCTCAAGATCCCTAACACAATTCTCATATGTGTTTCGAGTTCTTCTTCACTTTGAGAGTAGACCAAAATGTCATCAATGAAAATGATGACACACTTGTCCAAGTATTCATAGAAAACTCGATTCATCAGGTGCATGAAAACTCTAGCAGCATTTGTTAAGCCAAATGGCATAACTAAAAACTTGTAGTGACCATATCGAGTTCTGAAAGCAGTCTTTGAGACATCACTAGGTTTGACCCTCAACTAGTGATATCCCGACCTCAAATCGATCTTTGAAAATACTTTGGGCCCTCGTAGTTGGTCAAATAAGTCTTTGCTTCTAGGCAGTGGATACTTATTCTTGATAGTAATTCCATTCAATTCTCGATAATTAATACACAACCTCATTGTCCCATCCTTTTTCTTGACAAATAACACTAGCACCCCCAGGATATAACGCTAGGTCGAATGAATCCTTTTCCTAATAATTCCTCTAATTGAGCTTTCAATTCCTGTAATTCCTTTAGTGTCATCCTATAAGGAGCCTTAGAAATGGGCGCGGAGTCAGGAACCACATCAATCGTGAACTCCAATTCTCATTATGGTGGCATTTTATTTAAATCATCGGGAAAGACATCAATAAACTCTTGTACCACCTTAACATCACTTACCTTTAGCTCTTCATCTTCTTTAGGTACTATTGACATCAATAATCATCTAAAACCTTCTGACTTCAAAAGTTTTCTAGCCTTCAATGCTGAAATAATATGGGGTAGGGATTTTTTCTTGGTTGCTGAAAGATGAAGTTCTATTTCTCTAGGTTGCTTAACAATGACTTCCTTTCAAAACACAAAATAGTTGCGTGATTCATAGAAAGAAAGTTCATTCCCAAAATCACGTCGAACTCTTGTGTGTTCAAGACATATAAGCTCGTCTATAAAGATTTACCGTCAATCTCTACCTTAGCTATCTTCACTATACGATCCGCACCTAACATTTCTCCTATGGGCATAGCAAGTTCTAAAGGAGTACTTACATGTTCACTAGGTGCATTGAGTTTGCTCACAAGCTTATGAGATATAAAAGAATGCATAGAGCCAGAATTAATCAAAACATAAGCAAGGGTTCGAGATATAAGGATGTTACCCACTAAAACATTGTGGTCTTGCTCTTCTTCCTGCTCTGTGAGTGCATATACCCTAGCTTGACCTCTAGGGGGATTCAAAGGCTTCTGTTGCTGTTGTTGTTGCTTTTGCTTCTATCCCTTAGGGCATATTTTTGCCATATGGCATGTTTCACCACAGTTGAAGCATACAGCAGTACCCATAAGACACGCTCCAGAATTACGCTTTTGGCACTTCTCGCAAACTGGATACAGTTGATAATTGTTTGTACTGGTCTCCTTTATACATCTTTAAAGAATTCTATTTTCCTTTTCCCTTATAGTCCTCCCATTTTCGCTTTTCTGGCTATACATTCTGCTTGACCTCCCCACTAGTGTGACACTTGAAATCTACTAATTGTGCTCTTGCTAACACTTCATGGTAGGTTCTTAGTTGAAGTACTACAAATGCCTGCCTTAGATCATCTCTCAACCCTTCTTCAAAAAGTCTTGCATTTTTTTCCTCAGTGTCCACCTAGTTAGGAACATAATGGGATAACTCTTCAAATTTTTGCTCATACTATGTTAAAGTCATCGACCTTTGAACTAAATTGACAAACTCTCTCCCCTTCTGATTGCGAATACTCGTGGGGTAGTACTTTCTTAAGAATTGTTCCTTCAAGTCATTCCATGTCTAGATGTGTCAGTGGGCCCTTGACCTTGAGATTGAGTCCCACCAATGCATGGCACCTTTCTTAAGCATAAATGTTGCACAAATAACTTTCATAGAGTCGGGGCAGTCAATGAGGTCAAAATTCTTTCTATTCTGAACAACCAATCCTCTGCTTCCAATGGATCTACACCCTCAAAGGCTGGGGGTTGTTTTTTCCAGAAAAATTTTACCACAACAGTGGCAGTATTCATGGTGTCCTCTGCCACCATTGGTGTTTCTGGTTGAGGTGGCTGCACTATGGTGGTGGTGCTTGTTGCGACGTCGTCATTTCTTGGACGAACGTGTGCATCATAGCGAGAAATTGTGGGTCGACCCCATTAGTTTGCGGTTGTTGGAGCGGTTGGGATTTTTCATCATTGTTTGCTCTCCTACCTCAAGGTGCCATAGCCTTAACAAACAATGTTGCTATAAGTAATCGGATGAAAGGAAAAACTAGTGTATTTTATTCATAGAATTTTTCATAATTTCATAAAGGTACGTAGGACATACCCCACGTCCAAGCAAAAGGAAAATCTACTAGGAAAAAGGGTCGCAAGGTATACCAAGCATCCATGCAAACATAGAAAATCATATACTAGAGCAAGAAACATACGACTATAATCTAGTAGTTTTTCCCAGTGCTCTCATCATGGCTTGGTTCTAGGTCCTCTAAAGGGTCTTTTTCCTCCCTAGGGTCTCTGGGCACATACTCTATTATGTTGCCTCATTGTCTACCTCTGGTATTTCCTTGTGATCGCTCTCATTGGGCATGATACGAGGCTCACGTCTACAATGATCTGGTTCGTACCCTTCAAGCCTCTCAATAACTCTATAATCCTCACTATTGATCCTCCATATTTCTCTAAAGCTCTTAATAAGGTGTTCGACATATATTTGTCGATCAGACATTTCATCGAATCATTCCGCGAAGCCTTTCCAATAACCAGTAAGAGTTCTAAGTAGAGGAAAAAATGCCTCATCTCTACTAAACTCGTGTCCATTTAGCTCGATAAATGGCCTCAATAGCATCCAAATGCTCTACGAGGTGTGGCTGCGGTTCCTTGTATAAAACCTAATGAGATGTAAGAACCTTGATCAATTCTATTTCTTAATCATCTCTCTTCTTGTTTGGGCTGGACCTCTAGCCATCTACAAAATACATGATTTTTAAAGTGGAAATGTTCTTAAGAGATTCTAAAAATAAGTTTTATAAAGATAGAGTTATAATGTTGTTTTTTGTTCTATTAATTTGAATATCACTTAATTGAGTGGCTTCCAAGTAAGGAGGGGAGGGGGGGTCACAATGGACCGCTTAAATTCCAAACTTGCCTTAAGCAGTTTATGTTTTTTTGATAAAGCCTTTCAGTTGTCACAAACACCCAACCCAAGAAAACTCAACACAATAAAATGGACAAAAAGGCAATTTTATTTATTTATTTATTTATTTATTATTATTATTATTATTATTATTATTATTAGTAGTAGTAGTAGTAGTAGTAGTAGTAGTAGTAGTAGTTGTAGTAGACTATTATTTATTCAAGAGATATTTAAAGGTCAACTATTCTCATGGGTTGATAACTTTTCTAACAAAATCATTAGTCAAAAATCATATAATATTATAAAATTTTCAATTTTGTAACTTGCAATATTAACAAAAAACATATGTTCATAAAATCACAATTTTTTTTTATACATGCTTTGCTATATCGCTATCATCGTGAAAAAAAAATCATGAATTCTATTTTACATGGCAAAGAATATATACTTATTCATTCATGGTAATCACATAAATTCTTAACAATTTAGCAAAATATTTAATGTAAATAACTAAATAAATTATACATATTTTTCTACCTAATTGGGAGACTAAAGTTTGGACGATTGTTGTTGCCCGTAGTGAACTTTTTAAACTTGTAACCAATGAATTTTTATCTTACTATTAGTTATTTTAATACAATAACTAAAATAATAACTTATTTATTCAAAATAATAACTATAACTTAAAAAAAATATATCTAATAATTTTGTTCCAGTAAATAGTGATCGCGTGTCACTGTTCATTGACGTGAATAGTGTTTTTTCAGAGTCTACAAAATCAATTTTATAACCTTGGGCTCAGATACCACTTTGTGACATCCGAGTCCCAAAACCCGAGGGTCATAAAAGATAATATATATAGAAGAGAATTTATTTAAAATTTACTTCATCAATTGAGAAAGTCAACCTAGAAAAAAGCTTGTTCATGATATTTAAAATAATCAATTCGAAAGAAAAATTTATAAAACTTCCAAACTTATTTCCACCACCACGACCGAGTTCAACCTCTAATCTTCCCAATGTTTAGTTACCTGAAAGGGGGAAAACATAAGGTTAATAAAATCTCAATAAACATATATGTGTTCATAAGTTTCTAATCATATAACTTTTGGAATCATAGAACTTACATAAAGGAGACATGAAACTATACCGAATTTAGGTGGTTTGAGTTTTACGTGCATACCGCTACTAGAACTCTGGTCTGAAACTTAGAACATACTTATGGACCCATAAACATATTTCCAAAAGTGCAGCATAACAACCCGTATATACTTACCATTGTGTGGGAAAATATAAAGGCAATCAAATAAATTAGTTTGCTTGGTTTCCACTCCAAAGTTTTCTTGAATAGTGTGAGTACTAAAGATTTTTTAATGTGAAATGTGTTTGTGTGTAAGACAGGTTGTGAAAGAGAAGAGAAAAAGTGGCGTGTAAATTTCTTGAAAATCATCCACCTATTTATAGTATATTGATGGTGCATGTGATAAATCTCATAATTTATTTAAATAAATTTAAATACTTCAAGATAATCTTAATATTTAACAAAATCTGTGATAATGTTGAATAATCATAATATCCAATAAAATTTGTGATAATATTGAATAATTAAAAATAATCATAATATCTAACATAATTTGTGATAATGTTGAATAATTAAAAACAATCATAATATCTAATAGAATTTGTGATAATATTGAATATTTAAAAATAACTGTAACATCTAATAAAATTTGGATAATATTGAATACTTGAAAATAATCATAATATCTAATAGAATCTGTGATAATATTGAATATTTAAAAATAATCATAATATTTTACCGAATTTATTTATTCAAAATTATCTCAATATCTTAGAGATTCTACCACTTTGAGACTCAAATATTTATGCTTAATCCCTAAAATATTATACATTAATCAATTAGGTCCCTAGACTATACTTTTTATGTGATAAGGCCCTATATTTTAATATAATGACTAATTTTGAGGTATGAGGTGTCACAATGATTCTAAAGAGATACAATTTGGGAGGAGGGTTTTGGTTTGTAATACGAATAAACTCATTTTTAGGGATTTGTTGCTAAATTTGTCAAGTTAATAGCATATTTGTTGGGTCATAAATTAAGGGCGTGTTTGTTGGGTCACAAATTAAGGTTGCATTTGTTAGGTAAAATTTAGAGTCACAAATGATAGTGGTATTATTTTGTTAACTTCTGACATTTCAATTTTACTGTAGAAAAACAACAGTATTTATAGTTAAAAATGAAAAAGAAAATTATAGTCTGAATATTTATTTAAAAATAGGTGGGTGGCATAATTTTCTCCATGATCTATTCTAGAATATGGGCTTATGAACTCACTTAACAACAATAATTAATAAGCCCAAAACCAAAATAATAAAATGGCCCAAATCAACTTTATTTTACAGCACATTATGTGGATGACTACACAGTCGATGGCGCAAAACGATATTCCGCAGAATTCGTCCAATTCGGGGGCTTGGGGGTTCCTGTTTCAAGATAGTGTAGATTATTCTTTTTTATTTATGTAATACCACATATCCCTCTTGTATATAATTATTATTTCTTGTCCCTGTGTTTAATTCTTAATTCATAAATTTAATTCATGACTAATCATGTTTTCTGCGGTGCCTGTTAATTTAATTATGACGACTGAAATAGTGAAATAACGATCAAAAAATTAATTTTTTGGAGGAAAAAATCACTCCCAAACAGGCTGTATAATATGTCTATACTTTATTTAGCTCGGATTAAATTATATAATGTATTTATTTTATTATGTGCATTCNTCCCAAACAGGCTGTATAATATGTCTATACTTTATTTAGCTCGGATTAAATTATATAATGTATTTATTTTATTATGTGCATTCTTGCTTTTGAATTGAACTTAGATGTCGAGTTAAAAGATTTTTCTTTTTTCTTTTTCGTACATTTGGTATAAATTAATTTAACAATAATAAAATGACAATTAAGATGGAAATTTATTTACTCAATAGAATTAATTTAAGGACTAAATAAGTTGATAGACTATTATTACTAAATTAGAAGAAATTACACCTCACTAAACACCATTAGAAATTAATATCCTCCCATTTGTTCATCCCTTGCAAAACCGCCAAGGAGTTAGCCATCGCCGAACGACATGGATTATGCTACATAAAAAATATACATAAGGAATTACATAAAATGATATAAAAGAAAAAAATTGGATGAAAAAGTTGATTTTGTTTTAAACTAGCAAATGATAGAATGACATGTAACATTATGTAACCATCATGTAAAATTTGATGTATATATAGCAAAGTCCCAAAAAATTGTTCTAATCTCTTTCATTATTCATACAAAATTTATTAATTGTTTGAGTCCAAACTCAAAAAACATTCGAGGGAATAACGAGTAATACACTACCACAAAATTCTCCAAGTTTTCCCCAAAGCTTTTTCAAGATTTTACAGTGAGAGATGCTCCCTGTCCCGGGTTGGGGATAGGGGGCGCCCCTGTTTTTAACCCTGTCCCCAACCCGGGACAGGGAGATTTATTCTTTTACAATTTCCTTAATTTTTGCCTCAATTTTCTTCTCTTCTCGAGCTTCATCTTCTTTAATCATCTCTTCTAAAGTGTTTTTCTCCTCATTAGCTTCAGCCTTTTTTCTCTTAAGCAAGTCCATTACACCTTCAAGTGCACGTTCTGCATTCTCATTTCTCCCGCAATTTTCTTCAGGAGTGAATTTTACTTCCTTCATTAGAATTTTTATCTCGAGAAGCAACCTTGGATGATCTCGATTCCTAAATAATTGTATTCCAAGACATCGAATCCTTTGTCCGTGCAATATGACATATGAATGTGCATGACCATTCGACCAGGACGTAACAAAGCAGGATCAATCTTCTCCTTGTGGTTTGTTGTGAAAATTATGATTCTCTCGTCTCCACTATTCGACCACAATCCATCCATCAAGTTCAGCAAACCCGACAGAGTCAACTGCATTAAATATAAACACTAAAATCTGTTAGAGAACAAAAAACGAGGAGGCCTTGAAAAGTTCAACCTCTTATAATACTCTCTTCTCCTCACAAACATGTCCAAATCCTCAATGATTCGTTTTTTCGAATCGGGGTCCATTGCCAATTTGTCGAAAGTTACAGGATGAATATCCAAATTTACGTATCCCCACTCTCCTCTTCCTCTTCTTCCATCATCGTCGTCATTTCTCCATGGACAATCCGTTGTGTACAATTTCACATTCCTATCTTTCTCCTTAATTTCTTTGGCCTTTTCCGAAACAAAAGGCAAATAATCATTCAACACAGTTTCTTTATGTTGCTCGTGGAAAGTGAGTTCAAAGTATCTATTCTCAGCGTCGCGTCGATTTTCTATCACCTTGGAAACAAATTACCATTCGAGTCGAATGCCATTGTATGTATCTATCACTTTTTCCTCTTTTTCCATACTCAGAGTGATATTTTTTCTTCTTGGAGTACTTGCTTGCTCTGTGTCTCTTAGTATTTGGGTTGATTTTCGTGTGGAGATAAACCTCGGCAGCTACATAGATTTGATTGCGCGCCATGCCATTCTTCTCTTCCATAACCATCGTGATTTCGGTTGACAATGGAGTGAAAAAATAGTTGAGAAATCGATTGAAAACGGAAACAACGTAGAATTTTGTAGGATCGGTATAGCATTATCGATGTAGCCACCGATGCATAGGCCGAAAATACATTAGAAGCCATTCTTTCCATATCACCAAATGACTGCATTTTGTGAAAATATTAGAAGAAATTTTTGTTTTGAGGATCTTTGCTTTTCTTTGGGTTTATCGTTTCTAGGAGGGGTATTTATGAAGAGCACAAAAGTTTACGCGATTCGACGCCATTGAGGCAATCCTCAATTATTCTTAAGAGTAAAGCTTATTGGATAGAAAAACTCTGACATCTTGGTTGATATTCACTCATATGCGATGGGACCCATGTGGGACCCATACGAGTATCTATCAAGGAGGATGTCAAACCTTCCCTGACAAGATAGCTTGGTCCCATTCTTAAATATCTTTCTCCAACATATAGATAGGTAGGCATGAGAATTGAGAGGTATTTAATAAATAAAGCTGTGAATAACAAATGATAATTATTCTCTTATAATTATCATTAAAGATAAATAATAAATTATAACTTGAGGATCACGGGATTGTAATTTGGGGGGATCTTATACATAACAATTGTTTATTGCGGATTTTTGTACATCAAAACTGCAATAGAATGATTAATGTTTGTTAAACGTGCTTGCATGCTTATAAATGAGTTCCAAGTGGTGATACACAATTGAAATCACAAAATCGAGGTTTAATTACTTGTCTTTGATTCGCTCGCTTTCCACACCATCTTGTACCTCCCTCTTGGTCAGAAATTTGATCACAATAGAATGAATTTGATAGCTACAATCCAAAAACCTAATTTGACATGTTATCTTCCAAAAATCAAGCCTTCACCATCATTTCTTTTTACTCTATGGAACCCGAGTTCTTTGTCTTTCTTTCAAAAAGATGAATAATGGAAGTTGATGGTTGTTATTGGAGGTTAACTTTTAAATTCAATTTTCAACTCCTCCTTCCAAAATCCGTTTCCATGCAAAGCGGGTCGGGTCAACCCCCATGGGCAACCCGTTTTCTTCTAATATCTTTCACTCGCACATGATGGGCTTGACTTGATTCTAATATAATATCAATTATATTAATATCAACTTCTCCAAGTTCATACAGGTAAATGGATCGTGCGACCAGCAAGTTAATTTAAGAACACACAATGCTATATGCCTATTAGGAATATATAGTAGCTCTAGAAGAGGAAATATGTTTCTTGATATGCCTTAAACTCATTTTTCAACATTAATTCAAGTATTTTTGATCCCTCGAGTATTTATAAAACATACTTGAATCTCATCATTGTATTCACAATTGTGTTATATACCTTAAATCGTTAAACACAATTGTCCGGCTAGTGAATACAAACATAAATGTTGGTCAAAATAGTTTTCCTTTCCTACGTGAATCCTTTGATTTTAAATCAGTTGCTTCCCTAGACATGCCCCATTAAACCGAATCAATCATAGTCATTGGCAACATGCTAAAGTAGCAACACTGAAATAAAACTTCAAGAAACAATCAAAAAGTCATAAGGGTATATATAAACCTCAGGGTCTCACACAATGAAAAAGCAGGGATCTATTCACTCATTTACCCAATATGGTCGTAAAAGCACACGTGGTATGAAATACATGCTACAATGTTTTCTCCATTTCTTATGGCGTATGTCATATTCTTTTTAAATAAATAACACTATACAGATCCTAGTTCAAACATTTCCCGATACCTAACTTGAGTTCTCCTTATATTCATTCCTCTAGACATTCTCAAATCGAGAACTCGATCTGGCTACTAAACGGGATTAATGGATAGCAAAATCCATTTCGATTACTTCTTGTAATCTCATCTTGATACCTTATCAAGTCAATTGGATCATGTACATAACATGATCATTATCAAGGTGACAAGATCATATACACAACATGATCACTTTGTCTCATCTCAGCACATCTCAAAACATCTAAGGTAATTGCTCGTTTGAGTGAGCCAATCTCAACCCGTTTAACATACTTTATATGTGCATACAAATCATTTATCTCATAATCCCATATTAGATTACACATGAACTCAAAATTGTTCATCTATGGGCACACAAAACTCAATCAAGAGTTTTCTAATACACTAAGTATCATATTCTACGAAATTCTAGAGATTTCACACTACCAACAAATACATCTCTAGATATTTTCAGAGTATGATGATTACA